GCTTCCACCCATTTAGAGAAGTAGTCAGTCAAAACTAAAAGGAATTTAGCATTACCTCGTCCTGGCAGGAGTGGTCCCATGATAACCATCCCCATTTGATGAACAACCATGGCGAGGTGATGCAATAGAGGTGTTCCCCTACTTGGTGGATTATTGGGGCGTACTTCTAGCAATGTTCGCACTTCTTTATGAATTTTAGAGCATTTTTCTTCATGGTGGGCCAATAGTATTGTCGCGACCCAAACTGGAGGGCCATGACGGGCATCCGAGCCATACCCGTCAAGCACCAACGTACATTTTATCTAACCTTTCTTATTATCTATAAAGGCCGACGAGATCAACATAAATGCTAGACATGAATCATGAACAACCAACAATGATAGATAATGGTAGTAACATATATAACATGGGCCGACAAGGCTGTCATGAAGCTATATATAAGGTACGAGCTGACAAGCAGCCATGAGAGACTATAGAACAAAAATCAACCGACAAGGCAGTCCAAACTATACATAAGTCGACACCTGTCTATAAGCCTCTAAAGGAACATAAGTGCTTCAACATTGCCGGAAAAGGGCCCCGACATACCCATAGTGTCTATAAAAAAAGTCCATACCAAGACCACGGCAAGTCCGGAGAAGGGATCTCGCCAATAACCGCTGAACTGGGCAGCCTACTGTGGTGGGAGAGCTGTGTCTACCTATCTATCAGGACCTGCAACATGACATGCAACGTCTACAAATAAAAGGGATGTCAGTACGAATAAAGTACCGAGCATGTAAGGCAAGAAAGCATAAATAATTACAGTAATGTAAGCAGGGACAAAGTATATACAACATGTAACATCTGAGTTCCTCTGAGGGTGACTGACATGAAATGCATGATACATACATATATANTCTATAGGCATCATCATCATCATATCGTATCCGACCGTAATAGGCTCGGTAAAAACGTACCCGGCTATCATAAGGCTAGGTAGAATCTTACCCGGCCATGAGGAGCTCGGTAAAACCCAACTGATCAGTGGTTGTAGAATAGGTGTCGTACCCGGCCAACTTTAGCGTGGCTCGGTAGAGTAAAATAGGTACATATATACAATGCATGTTGAACTCATTGGAATCACATTCTGAACCTTTCGGAGTGACGTATGATTGGTAACCTCCGTACACGTTATTAGGACTAACGCTTTGTCATGGATCTTATAAGAATCAGGAAGTACCAACAACATTGATAACATATGAATAAGAGAAGTAACATCAACATCAATCGTTCCATAAGAAGAGAAATAATGTAAGTACTGCTAGCTTCTAAGAATGGAGTATCTTTGGAAGCTCGTTGATTACATTATGTACAATCGGAGTTATGAAAAAGAAGGAAAGGGATAGCCTCACATACCTTGTATATACTTCCCAACCTCAAGCTATGGAAATGTCACGACTCCTTAGTCTACAATAAGAGAAATGATACTATCGTTGTCCTTTAAGCGTCGTAACTATTATATATCGACCGCAACCTATTTTACGATAAAACAGACAATACCTCCCCTATTTATATGAATTCCCACAATTTAAAACAATCACAAAACATCCCAAACAACATCAATAATAATCATATTAAGCCTCCCAAAACAGTCCACCAACCAACAACATTACTAACAAGCCTTTCAATAGATATCTCACAAGTTCTAGCTTCAACGACTTAGCCGCAACTTGGATAATCTTAAATACATGTAGAGTAAGATGTTACTTACCTTTAAACAGATATAGCAACTCCAATTTGACCTTACTTCACCACGAAATATCCTTCCAATTCTGCCACAAGAACAAGGAAGCGAAACTAACAATTAATTCGGGTTTTTTGGCACTAGAATCACTTTGGAAGACTTGAAATCACCTAGAGTTGATATTAAAAACTTGAGAGAGTATTTTTCAGAACTTAAACCACTTAAAAACACCTCCCACATGATCTGGAACCACACAAAAATCAGCAACAATAAGAAGAACAAGAAACTTACTAGCGCCACGGGATTCCCGACACTTGATTTGTGTGGTTTGCCCTTTGTTTGGGTCTTGGATCATGAGAGAACCTTGAGAGAGAGTTTTTAAGTGTCTAGGGTCTGAAGAGAGTTAATAATAATGAGTTAAAACGGGCTTAAGGAGTCTCATATATATCAATATATCTCAACCGCCTATGTAGGCCCCTTAGAGAGCTGCTTGCGCAGTCTCGCAAAAACGCGAATATCTATCTACTCCGACGTCGTATCGATGAACGGTTTAATGTGTTGGAAACTAGACTCATAGATTTTCAAATTTGTTGGTATATCACTCAGTAATTCCAAGTAAATTGGGAGAAAAGCTTAGTAATATTTGACCTAAAGTTTAAGTAAAATTATGAATGTAAGTTGCGACAACTTTTGCTGACTTTTGTTTCATAACTCGTTTGACTTCAAGAATTATACTATGGATATTCTATGATTCAAATATCTTAAAACACGACCTCCTTAGCATATTAAGCATCTCTAGTTTTACCCTTAAATACGGGTTACAACATCCTTGATTCGTTTAACTTCTAATACTTGTTAATCACTCTTAAACGCTCTTGTATAATTTAAGACCAATAGGATTCACTTCTTATCATCTCAATGATAATCTCTTCTCAGATATACGTCGACTAACTTACGTCATGATCTAACGTATGTGAATATTGGTTTTAATAAGTATCTGCCCATATGAGGCATCTGATAAGTGCTCGGTCACCAGAGTGACTGCCACAATGGCCTTCGTGGACTTCCTCAAGGACGCGTTCAGTTTGGTTTGGACCTAAGAACTTTGCCAAGAGGCCCCCATACGTCCTTTTATACAATTTGTTTTTGAGAAGGTTGTATCTCGCTGCTTGCATTCCCGACTTCCTGGCTTCCTTTTCATCATTTGGGAGAACACCATCCTGCAAGTAATTTATAGTGCAATTGCGCCAGTCTCAGGTTAAGTTAATGTATTTTACCTTGATATTATCTAAGGTTGAGCTGAGGATATGCACCATATTTTGTCACCAGGGGTTATGCCTTTTGTTGCGGCGGCTAGTTTTGCGAGGCCGTCCACCTCGACATTACGTTCTGAATTCATGAAATCTTGTCGAGCTGACATTCATCAAATATGGGCAACATTTTATAGATCTCAGTTTGGTACTTTTGTAACCTCTACTCTTTGGCCTGGAAAGTCCCAGTAACTTGGTTGACAACAAGCTGGGAGTCGCAGCGTAGCCTTAGGTGCCTCGCCTCATATTTGAATGCTAGCCTCAGTCCTGTAATTATGGCCTCATACTCGGCATTATTATTAGTCATATCTGGGCACCTTATAGATTGGCAGATTATTTCACCAGTGGGTACTTTGAGCATGAGTCCCAATTTGGATCCGCATGCATTGGATGCACCATCGGTGTGCAAGACCTAGAGGTCCTGTGCCAGGCTAAAAGCTTGCATGGCTTCCTTATTGGCCTCGGGCATCACCTTGGCGCAAAAGTCCGGGACAAATTTGGCGAGCACTTATGACTTTATGGCTGTGCGGGGGTGGTAAGTGATGTCATGCTCACTTTACTCTATTGCCCATTTGGCCAGCCTCCCTGGCAGTTCGGGTTTGTCCAATGTTCTCCTCAAAGGAAATGTGGTGACGGACGAGATTTGATGGCATTGGAAGTATGACCTTAGCATTATTGAAGCTATGACAAGGGCCATAGACAATTTCTCAAAGTGATGATACATCATCTCGGCGTCAATAAGTGTTTTACTGATATAGAAGTGGAGATTGCGTACCTTTTTCTTCTCAAACCAGGACAACACTTACCGCTACTTCTGAAACTACGAGGTAAACTAGGAGGCGTTCTCCGAATTCAGGCTTTGAGAGTAGGGGCGGTGATGACAGGTATTCCTTGAGCTCTTCAGCGCTTGTTTGCACTCGGTCGTCCATTTGAGGTCGTTGTCCTTTTTTAGTATATTGAAGAATCTGTGGCATCTGTCGGACGATCTCGAGATAAACCTGGACAAGGCGGCAATTCGACCCATCAGTCATTGGACTTGTTTATTGGTAATTAGGTGCTCTGATCCTGTTGAAAGCCTTAATTTGATCTGGGTTGACCTCGATCCTTCGATGTGACACCATGAAACCCAAGAATTTACCCAAAGTCATGCCAAACGCACATTTCTCGGGGTTCAATTTCATCCCGTACTTCCTCAAGATTTTGAATGCTTCTTTTAGGTGGTCGATGTGGTCCTCATCCCTCAAAGATTTGACTTACATGTTATCAATGTATACTTCCATATTTTGCCAAGATGATTTTTTAAAATTTTCGTGACCAACCTTTGGTACGTGAGCCCGACATCCTTCAACTCGAGAGGCATGACCCTATAGCAATACGTTCCCCTGTGAGCGATGAGTATTTGGTTATAGCCTAAGTATGCGTCCAGAAAACTTAGCAACTCATGTCCCGCTAAGGCGTCAATGAGCAGGTCAATATGCGGCAATGGGAACGAATCCTTCGGACAAGCTATGTTCAGATTGGTGTAATCCACGCATATCCTCCACTTACCATCCTTCTTTTTGACCATTACCACATTAGCGATCCACTTGGGGTACTTTGATTCCCTTATAGAGTCGTTTGCTAGTAGTTTCTCCACTTCCTCGTGGACGGCCTCGTTGATGGCGGGGTTGACGTCGGACCTGCCTTACTAGAGGGTAGTAGGGGTCGATGTTTAGCTTGTGCATGGCTATCTCCTTGGGATGCCTGGCATATCTGCATGGCTAAAAGCGAACAAGTCTGGGTTAGTTATTAAGAATTTACTAAACTTACCTGGGTTTTTGAGTTTGCAGCCTATGTAGGCCTTTTTTCAAGGGTTGCTTGGATCTAGCTAGACGGGATCGAGGTCCTCATTGGTAAAGGCTAGAAGGGATTGGCCTCATTGGGTGTATCCATGGTCGACCCACGATGGCATTGTATGCCATGTCTTAGTCCATGATGTGGAATGCGGTCTCCAGCATCACCTCAATGGCAAGAACGGGGAGTGTGATCTCTCCCGAAGTCCATTCAACTATATCGTTAAAACCGGCTAGCGTGATGCAGCACGACGCAATCTTATCATCGAGTTCTCGTACATATGCGACTGTACAAGGACTTGAGGATGGATAATTTGCTCCGCTTAATTCATCAAACATAATCCTCCTAACATCAGTATCAAGAATGCATAAAGTAATAACAAGTGCATCATTGTGAGGGAAAGTCAAACCATCGGCATCCGACTTATCGAAAATGATACTTTCTTTGAGGCCGTCAGACCGTTCATGGGTGATCGATCTCTTTAGTTTCTGAGTGGAAGTGAACTTGATGCTGTACATGGAGGTTTCATCACTGCCTCCGATAATCATGTTTATGGTACAAGCGGGAGACGACAGCGGCCTGGGCATTCTCGCCCCTCTGCTAAGGTGTTCCTGCCTTTGTCGCTGAGTAACCCTTTGAGGTGTCCTTGCTGTAGAAGAGTTACCACTTCTAACCTTAGAGTGTGGCAATCCTCTGTCTTGTGCCATCGGTCTTGGTGGAACTCACAGAAGGCGCCCGACTTCCTTATGTTCAGGTCAGACCTCATCTTTGGTGGCCACTTCACCTTCAGTCAGATCTTCTTGAGTGCATAGAGCACCTCTGTAGGTGTCACACAGAAATTATGATCATATCGTAAAGGAACCATACCTCGGTCATTTTAGGGGATGCCTGATCTCGACCTAGAGGGGCCAATTTCACGGTGGAAGTTGGGGACGAGTGGTCTGATGTAAGGTTGATGTCGATGTCTACCTGATCGCAGCATTGTAGGGCCTCTCCCAGTATTATCCGTCTGTTCCCTCTTGGTTTTGGATTGCATTAAGACAATTCATTGGGTTGGCCCATTGAGGTCCTCATTTGCTCTGACCTTGGCACAATAGGCGTTATGGATCTCGTCCCTGGTGGCCGGTGGGTATTTAATCAATCGGCTTAGCAGCTTTCTGGTCTCCCTCGACCCGTCTCTATTCAACCGATTCTGGAAGGCGACGATGGCCATTTGGAGATATTTGGTAAGGTCATCCTCACTCTGTTGAACTAAGCCAAGAAGTCCCTCAGTCCTTCCCTTGGGGATTGCCTAATGGCGAAGATTTCCTTTACCCTATATTCGGCCTTCTTGGCCTCGGCATGCGCCGTTATGAACTTGTTCGCTACTTCCTCAAACATTTCTATGGAGTTGTAATGACTCGGCCATTTGATTTGAGCTCTAGAGTGTCGTTCGGTGGTTTGACTCCTTGAGTAGCTTCACTTCATGTTTTATGACTTGTACGCGTGGTCGAAATTGAATTTTGGGAAGTTCAGAGTTGATTCGAAAGGAAAGTTCTAAATTCGGAAGCTTTAAGTTGGAAGAATTGACTATGGTTTGACTTTTGAGTGAACGACCTCGGAATCAGGATTTAAAAGTTCCAATAGATTCGTATGATGATTTCAGACTTGGGCGCTTGTTCGGGTTGAATATCGGGTGGTCCGGGAGCATTTTAGCGCCTATTATGGGAAGTTGGCATTTTGGAAGTTCTAGAATTTCACAAGTTTTGTTTGAAGTGGATTTTGATGTTATCGATGGGGAGTTCCGAGCCTTGGAATAGGGTTGTATCGTGATTTGTGACTTGCCCGTAAAGTTTGGCATCATTCCGAGATGTTTAAGTATAATTCGGACACGTTCGGCAAAGTTTGAAGCTTGGAAAGTTGAAAGAAAGGTTTTGGCCGTCGATTTGTAATTTTTATGTTATTTGACGTGATTCAAGGCTTCGACTAAGTCTGTATCGTGTTTTGGGATGTTTTGGTAAGTTTGGACGGGGTCCTGGGGGCCTCGGGTGCGAATCGGATTAGAAACGGATCGAGTTTGGACTTGGAGGAACTGTTGAAGCTTAAGGCTTCTGGTGCGATCGCACCTGTGAGGTTATAGCCGCAGGTGCGAGACCACAGAAGCGGCCTAGGGGTCGCAAAAAGCGGTAGGGAGTGAGGCTGGTTGGATGCACAGGTGGGAGGAATTTACCCGTGGGCTCGCAGATATGGGAGAAGAAGTGCAGAAGCGGACATGGTCTGGGCTGGATGATTGCAGGTGCGAGCGCTGTAGCGCACCTGCGGAGCCACAGGGGCGGTCATGGGCACGAGGTGCAGAGTGGCGCTCGAGCGGGGAGTCTGCAGGTGCATATGGTTTCCGCAGAAGCGGAAGCGCACCTGTGATTTGTTGTCCACAGAAGCGGAAAAAGCCAGCACCTCGGGGGAAGCCGCATCTACGAGGTAGCTTCCGCAGAAGCAAGGCTGCAGATGCACAAAGAGTTCCGCAAGTGCAAAAAATAGACTAGGCATATTGTTTAAAATCGGGGTTTTGCTCATTTCACTTAGTTCTCTCTAGGTTTGGGCAATTTTTGGAGAGCTTCAAGGTGAGATTTTCATCATCTATGGCAAGGTAAGTTATTCCCATCTATTGCAAGTTAAATACATGAATTCTATAAGGATTTAAACATGGAAATTAGTACAAATTGTGGGATTTTGGTAGAAAACCTAGAATTTGGTATTTTGGATTTTGACAATGAAATTGGACATGGAATTAGGAGTAAATTATGTATTTGTGTTCGTGGTGTTATGGATAATGATTATGTTCAAAAAATTTTGAAATCCGGGCACGTGGGCCCGAGGGTTGACTTTATTGACTTTTTGAACGGAGTTGGAAATTGTTATAGATTGATTAATTATGGGTAATAGAGTATATATTTATGGATTTGCACATTATTTGACTAGTTGTGGAGAGACGTGCATCGGTTTGAGGTGTTGGAGTGGCGTTGGAGCCGGCTATGGAACTTCGGAGCGAGGTAAGTCTCCTGTCTATCTCTATGAGGGGGAAACTACTCCTAGGTGATGTATTTGATATGTGCTACTTGTTGCGGGGGCTACGTATGCACGAGGTGACGAGAGTTCGTACGTGGCTAAATTTAAGTTATTGTCCGGGTAGACTTAGGTTCACACCATGCTATAATTGTACTATAGGGGTTATCTTTTCTCATTTAATTCCTTTATTTTGCATTACAACCTGAAACTAGACTTACGTAGAGTGATAGACTTGCTATTGTAGAGATTTGACGGGCTTCATGATTAGCCACAGAATAAATGTGCTCCTCATACGAATTTCTCCTGCGCTATGCGTTTTCATCGAAAGGTATTCCTTACCATTTATAACTCACACATTTATTTGTGAGTGGGGTCAAGGACCCGTTAAAGCTTCTTATTCTAATGGGATCGAGCCGTTCACCTTGGGAGGATTATGTACCACACTCTCATGGGAGAGGGTCATTCGCCTCAGTAGTATAATAGATGCATCTGTGGTTCATGTCATTCGACCCTCGACAGTGCACAATGTATGATGGGATCGGGTCGTAAGCCTTGGCATTTTTATAAATACCCTTATGGGATCATGCGTAATATTTTACAAGAAGCTAGTGTATCTGTGAGTTTTCCTGATTTGAATTGTGACGATCTATCTGATGAGGTCCATTATATATATGTACTCCGGTTGAGGAGGTAACCGCTAATTGAGAGCTTTAGTTCATTGTTGAGGAGATCACATATTTGTACTTGTTTATTTCATTTATTTACTCTGCCTCACACCTGTTTACTTCCTACTGCATTTGATTTATTGGACCACTAGTAAGCGTCAATATCGACCCCTCGTCACTACTTCTCTGGGTTAGGCTCGATACTTACTGGGTACACATTGATTTACATATTCATGCTGCACTTATTGTGTAGGTACATATATGTCTGGTGGTCTTTTGGGCGCAAAGGCGCGGCTATTGCGGGGGACTTTACCGTGAGCTGCATTCCATGTTATGATCCGTAACATACAGAGTCTCCATCAGAGTTATTTATATTCTCCTGTCTAACTTATATTCCAGACAGATGTTATATTTTATTATATTTTCTAGTTGATGCTCATACAGTTATGACACCGGTTTTTTGGGGGGCTTCTAATGGATGTTTGGTGTGTTAGTTCACGTAATTATTATAATTTTTTCCCTGTAAATTCTATTTCATACTATTTGAATAAATGGAAATTATGATTTCAAAGTAATAAAATGAGTTATTAAGTTGATTAATCACCATTGGCTTTCTTCACAGTGGTGTTAGGCGCCATCATGACCTTTAGTGGATTTTAGGTCGTGACAGGAGTAGGACGGTAGCTGCGAATACCACGCCAATGCCCCTCCTGTGAGTGTCTCACCGAACGTTTTTAACAAGATAGAGGACACATGTTATTTGGTGAGGACGTTGCCTTTTACTGCGGTGACATAATGGGTCACATGGTCCTTGGGATCAGTTGTCCCATCGTAGATTCTAAGGTATGGGGGCATCTTGAATGTTTTTTGTATGGCATGAGAGCTGCTTCTTCCCTGTATGGTTGTTCCATAAACCTGTCGGCATCTTTTTTCGGTATCAATTTGGAAGCACCTGGGATTTTGTCTACCTGTTTTTAATGCTCTTTTATCTGTTCCTTAAGTGCCTTGTTTTCGTTCTCCATTTTTTCCATTCTTTTTAACACTGCAGCGAGGGCGCTATCACCTGCATAGTTAGTAGTATTATCGATATTACCTGAAGTTGGATGGTTCAGTTGGTCATCCCACCCATTCCTATGCTGAGTTGTAGGTTCCTTGGGGTTACCACGGTCGTGCACAGGGCTTGCTTGCTCATCACGTAACCAAAGTGACAGTTAGCCAAGCCTCTATGAGCTTTTTAGGGCGGGTGGTGCTCCTTCTTCCGCGGACATGGAAGCTTCTTTTTCGTTGGGTTTGGTCATGCTACAGAAGGGTGTCGGCGGCTTCCCTAACCTGGGGGATGCCGTGGGGGTTACTTCTTCATCTTGAGTTTTGTACCCTTCATCGATGGCACTCATTATATGGAGCGGGACGTTGTCCACCGCTCTTGTTCCCTTTCCTTGGTTGACCTTTCCTTAGTTACCTGCCATAGAATCCTTGTATGCAAAGAGAACGGGAGTAGCTTAACAGTATGTTAGGTTAATAAGTTATGACCGTTGTAGATCTAAATGAAAACTAATAGTTTAATTATGAAATCACCACAGATGGCAAACTATATGACCCAAAAAGAAGATCTTGGTTTTATACAATTAGATTTGTTGTAAAATAGGGTTAATCATAGTCAACAGTAATATTCAATGAAAGATCTAGCATTTTGAGGCCCGTATTCACTATATATTATCAAAGAAAATAGTTGTGGGACAATAATGAGGCTGTAATGAATAGAAAATGTAAGGAGAGCAATAAATAATAATAAATGACTTACAAATAGTAAATGAGATAAAGACAACCCGACAAAGATGAGATGTTCGGATGTCTTTCTGATACTGATGGATGATGATGAGCAACCTTGTATTCTAATACTTCTTGGATCGAGAGAGAGGGATAAAAGAAAGGAAGTGTAAAGTCAAGCTTTATTTTTTTTCATTAAAGTGAGAATCTTGTACAGAGAATATTGATGA